GTGGGGACCCAGTGTGGCGCTGGGAGATCTGGGCCAGCTGCCTCACAGCAGCAGGCTGTGGGACGTTGGTGTTGCCTGAGCCCTACGCTGCCCTCACTGCTGATGGGATGGGGTGAGATGGGACGAGTGGCGAGATCTGGGTCACTTTGGTTTGGCAGAGCAAGGCCCACACCCTAGAGTGGCAATGCCAGGCAGTTGGACGTGGCAGTGGGGTGGGTTTTGGCGGCAGGAGGTGGCCAGGATGCCAGCACAGTGCCAGCAGGCTGGGTGGGTGAGATGGGGACTTTGCTCCTCTTTCCCTGGTACAAATGCCAGGAACAGCTCTGGCAACACCACCGGCCCTGCTGCACCGTGGCAGGGATGCCCTGTGCCCAGCTTCCGTGGCAGCTGCCGTGCCAGGCTGGCACTGGCCCCAGGTGCAGTGCTGGCTGGGCACTGAGGCAGCCCTGTGCCAGGGTGCTCAGCCCCCTCTCAGTGCTGGTGGCTGTCCCTGGGAGCTCTGGGTGAGCTGGGCAGTGTCAGGGGGCCTCAGCAGCGCCATGGGGCTCACTCTCAGCGCTATGGGGTGGGGGACTGTTTATCCTCTTTCATCTCCAAACCATTTCCTTTTGTCTCTACTTGTTCTTTTCTTCTTTCAAAGAGCACTGCTGCTCTCCCCACTTCCTCCAGCATTGGGACCCTCAGCATGTGCTGTTTACAGGGTCACCAGCTGAGCCAGACCCCGGCCACCACCTTCCCTGTTGGGCAGACAGAGGGGCTGCTCAGCCCTACACCACTCTCCATCCACACTGTGGCCATCAGCACCAGGGCCACTGCTGCTCCCAGCTGGCTTCAGGCAGCAGCAGGGTGGGGGGCTTGCACAGCCTGGACCCCTGGGTCCACGTCCTGGATCCCAAATGGTAAAGGGCCCCACGGGGTGAGGGGCCAGGGCAGCTCCGCGCTGCGCTCCCCTTCCGGGGTGACTCATTCTCCCCATGGGGCTGTGAAGTCCCTCGACAGCATTTGTGACTCTTGGGACCGAAAGCAGGGGCTCCTGGCAGCAGCCCATGGTGGGGACTGTGCTCCCTGGGACCTCTGCTCCCTTCTCTCCTTCCCCATGTCGGGAGATCCCCCCTGGACACCCCTTTCCACCTCCCACCATCCCCAAGCCGGGCCCAGTGCACTGTGCCCTCACCCAGGTGCCATCCCTGCTTGGTGGCATGGCACACAAGCAGGAGGGGCACTGCAGGGACCCCAGCCCGCTGCCCATGGCCCTGCCTGGGTGCCTGGACCCCTCTCACAGAGGAGCTGGCACATGGGTGGAGCCTGGCCGTGGTTGTCCCAGGCAGACTGGGCTGGCACAGGGATGTCAGGGTGACCTGGGCAGACATTGTTCCTGCTGCCACCCGCCCTGCATGGCAGCCAGCTCAGCACGGGGAGCAACTCCCCCTTTCCTTTCCTCAGTTCAGCCAAAATGTGCCCAGCCACAGCGCTGAAGTGACCGAGGGAGCGCTGGCATGGCCAGGCCATGGGCATCACCACCTGTGTCCTCCAGCCATCACCTCCAGCAGCAGCCTGGGAATGCTGGGGGCCCGGGGGCGGCTCCTGTCCCCTCACACCTCATCCTCTGCCATTTCCTTATCACTGCGGTGATCTCCTCGACGGCAGCAGCCGCTCGCATGTGACTTCTTCGCTCCAGTGAGGAGGATGTGCGGGGGGGTGGGGGTGTCAGCAAAGGAGCCGTAAAGGGGCGGTTTGGGGCCATGGAAAATCCCCCTCCTGCCCGCCCGCCGCCGCCTCGCCCCCAGCCTGCCCCACAGCCCTGCAGCTCTGTCTGGTGGCACCGAGTCCCGTGGGGTCCCAGCTGCCTTAGCAGAGCTCTGCTGGTGATTTCTGTGACATTGGCAGCGCTGAGGCTGTGTCCATCTGCGCTGGGACATGGTGAGGGCAGTGCCAGTCCCTCAGAGCACCTGCTGGGATATGGGGGTCTCAGCTGCTGTCCTTTGCCCAGACACCCCCAGTGGGTGCCATCAGTCTTGTGAGTGCCCTGTGCCCAGGTTTCTTGTGGGGATCAGGGCAGAAGGGAGGCTGTCCTGGTGCCATCACTGGGGGAGGCAGTGTTGGAGGACACACTGCCACCCCATCCTGTGATGATTCCCTGTGACAGTCCTGGGGGGTCCGTGGGGCTCTGGCCCACCCACGGCAGGTGCCCCATCCGTGTCATCCCTCTCCAGCTGCCCAAGCTGTGGCATGGGATATTTACCCCCCTGCTTAATCCTGCCCCTGCAGCTAATCCTGCCTAATCCCACCGGGGGCTGTCACTGCCTGTTGGCTCCGGGGCCCCTGATGGTTTAATCACCCCTAATCCGATCACCCCCACCTCGGCAGGCAGAGGGGACCTCAACCAGCGCCGGGATGGGCTCCTGCCAGCCAGGGGGGCTTGGCCGTGGCTGCTGGCGCCANGCCATGCAGGCAGGGGAGGGAGGCGGTGGTGCCGGGGCTGTGGCCGGTGACCTTCAGTGCACCCGGGCATGCCGTGTGCCCGGGGCTGGGCAGGTCGGTTGGCATGCAGGATGGTGCGGTGGGAGCCATGGTGATTTGTATCCCCAGAGCTTCTGGCATGGTTTGATGGAGCCCTGGGCAGACAGGGGGACCAGCCCGGGTGAGGGAAAATGAAAGCAGGTGATGCGGAAGGAGAAGTAGGTCAGGCGAGCTCTGGCCTCTCCCGGCAGCCTCGGTTGCACTGCGTGCTCCTCTCTGCCCAGCTGTCTCTGCCATGTCCCCAGGCCCCGTGGGCAGCAGCTGGAGTGGGTAAGGGGGTCCTGCTGCCAGGCTCGGGGTCCCGAGCACGGTGGGTGCCAGGCACTGCCGACACTGAACGCCAGCAGGGTGGAGAATGTGGCTGTGCTGGCTGACATTCATTGGGTACAGAGACACCCCAGCAGTTTTGCTTTGATTCCCCTCCCCTGGGCAACCATCAGGGCTTGGAGCCATAGCAAGGGTGGACAGGAGGATTGCCAGCCCCACTGCAGGACCAAGGAAGAGAAGGGAGGAGACCCTTGTGCCCTGCTGGGGTGGCACAGGGCAGCTGGTGTGGTGTGGACATCACGGCGGGCCCTGGGGCTCCACAGAGGCTGCACTGTGCAGCCCTGGGCATTGCCCTCCCTTGCTGCAGGGCTGCCTGGGGTCTCCTCGGTGTCACTCTGTGGGCTGTGGCGGGCATGGCCTGGCTGTCGGTGCTCTGTGGGCTCGGGGGGGCTCGGGCTGGGGGGGATTAGAATCTCCTGCCCCCCTTCCCTCCCCGGGATCAGCCGTGGGCAGCGGGGAGCTGGCAGCAGGCAGCTGCCGTGGGGGCGGAAGCCGGGCTATTTTGGAGGGTGTGGAGGGGGGGCTGTGGGCTGGCACTGTCCTTGCCAGGTGACCCCACCGGGAGCAGCGCCACCCTGGTGCCAGCATGGAGTGCTGGGGGCACAGCCTGTGCCACTGGGGATGCTCAGTCCCCGGGGTGCTGTGAGGACATGAACCCTGCATGTTGAGTGGGAGGTGCCACCAGCTGGGGGGGCCCCTCGGGGCTGTGCAGCACAGTGGGACCCAGGGGGTCTGGCTGCCCTCCAAGGGGTTCCCGTGACTGTGCTGCGGGGCCAGCAGCTCCAGAGCCAGCTCACCCTGGGGCCAGCCAGCAGGCCCACTGGTAGGTGAGCCTGTCCCAGGCTGGAGGCTGGCAGAGCCTTCCTTCCTTCCTTTCCTTCCTTTCCTTCCTTTCCTTCCTTTCCTTCCTTTCCTTCCTTTCCTTCCTTTCCTTCCTTTCCTTCCTTTCCTTCCATGTTTNGTGTTCGATTATGAGTGGGCAGGGGGCACAGGGGGCTGGCAGCTGCCTGGGGAGGGGCCCTGTGACCCCCACAGTATCCGCATCAGCTTTGCCAAGGGTTGGGGACCCTGCTATTCCCGGCAGTTCATCACCTCGTGCCCGTGCTGGCTTGAGGTCCTGCTGAACCAGCCACACTGAGAGTGGAGCTGGTGGGGGGGTGCCAGGGAGGTCCCCCAAAGCAGGTTGACAAGCTGGGGGTCCCTTCTACTGTTCCTCAGCCTGTGTCTTCCAGGGCTGTGTTGTAGCAGAACTGTCCTGGCTCTGGGGACTCTGTGCCTCAGTGCTGCCTGGATGCAGTGCCCCTCTTGCAGGGTTCAGCACCTGCTTCCCCCAGCCATGGGGCTCTCAGTGACACAGGACACTATTTAATATCTTTTTATTATTATTATTATTATTTTAATGTTTAAGTTTATATTAATTTATCTATTTTTGTATAAAAAGCAGAGCATGAGGCAGGAGTCCCCATTGTCAGGGCCAGGCCTGGGGGGTGGCAGCTAGAGCCCGTGGGCACAGGGGGAGCAGGAGAGAAGGGAGGTGAGAGGGAATGAGGAGGAAGGGGAAGCTGTGGGCCTAAGTGTAACTGCAGACAAGGGGAATGGGAGTGAACTGGTACAGCTGGGGGGAGAGGTGAGGCAGGTGAGCACAGCTGGAGTGAGGGGCAGGTTAGAACATCTGGATATGTGTGGGGCAGGTTAGAACATCTGGATAGGTGCGGGGCAGGTTGGAACATCTGGATAGGTATTGCATAGGTTAGAACATCTGGGTAGGTGTGGGGTAGGTTGGAACATCCGGATAGGTGTGGGGTAAGGCTGGAACATCTGGGTAGGTGCAGGGCAGGTGCAATGGGGGGGACAGGTGAGCACTCCTGGGGTGGGGACAGGTTCAGGGTTACCCAAGCTAGGTCCCAGGCTTCCTTCAACCGTTCTGGCAGCATGGGGGGAGCCCCGAGCAAGCGCAGCCGAGGGGATCCCGGATTGCCCGAGTCGTGTCTGCTGTTTTTAACCTAAATAAAGGGTGCCACGGGCACCAAGAGACCTCCGTGTCCCTCCGCGTATCGGTGCCGCCCACGGGGCTCGGCTCCGNCTCTCCCTGCCCTACGACAGCTTTGAGCTGCCTGAGGAAGAGGAGCTGCCCCCACACTCCTTCCCCTTCCCCTACCAGCCCCCCTTGTCCCCTGAGGAGGCACCTTCTGATGAGGATGCCATCGACCCCGACCTGATGGCGTACCTGAGCTCACTGCACCACGAGTCACTGGCGCCCGGGCTGGACAGCCCCGACAAGCTGGTGAGGAAGAGGCGCTCGCAGATGCCCCAGGAGTGCCCAGTGTGCCACAAGGTCATCCACGGTGCTGGCAAGCTGCCCCGCCACATGCGCACGCACACGGGCGAGAAACCCTTCGCCTGCCAGGTCTGCGGGGTCCGGTTCACACGGTGAGTGCCCCTGGATGGGCTCTGCCTGCCTGAGGTGTGCCAAAGGGCATCCCCTATGGCACCTCCATCCCGTGCCAGTCCTACCAGGGGTTTTCTGCATCCCCTGAGTGCCGCTGGATGGGCTTTCCCTGCCTGACGTGTGCCAAATGACATCCCCTATGGCACCACCCCCCTGTGCTAGTCCTACTGGGGCCTGGCCACAGGCCTGGCATGGTTCATGGGGTTTTCTGCATCCCCTGAGTGCTGCCAGATCACACTGATGGCACACTGCACAGCACCCCTCTGCCAGTGCTGCCAGTGGGGTGCACATTCAGAGCGTCTTCTGCATCCTGTGAGTGCTCTGGACACCAACACAGGTACCCAGTGGCATCCTCCTGGTTTGCAATTGCAAACCCCTGTAAGTTGTGTTGTGGTGCAGTGGGGTTATGGGGCTTTCTGCACCTCATGAGTGCTGCTGGGCTGACCTGAGGTACCCAGGAGCATCCCTGGTGGTGTTCCTCTGCCATAGCTGCTGGTGAAGTCAGGTCAATGGGGTGTTCTGCACTCTGTGAGTGCTGCCAGATCACCCAAGGCCTGATACCTGATGGCACCCATAGCACCTCATCTCTCATGGTTGTGGTGCAGGTCCAGGGGAGTCTTCTGCTCTAAGTAAGCACTGCCAGGGCAGCCTGGGGCAGCATTCCCCCTGCCAGCAGCCGGCTGCATCTCAGCCATGCAGCCGTGCAATGGTCCAGAGCCCTGTGCCCCACAGCGCACCCAGAGCCCTGTGCCCTGCAGAGCATCCAGAGCCCTGTGCCCACAGCGCACTCAGAGCCCTGTGCCCCACAGAGCATCCAGAACCCTGGGCCCATAGAGCCTCCAGAGCCCTGTGCCTTGCAGAGCATCCAGAGCCCTGTGCCCCACAGAGCCTGCA